ATATGTCATATTTCCTAGATCTATCATCTCGAACTCATTCATCAAAACTTCTTTGAACTTCTTTATATCTTCTGGGCAGCTTCCTGTTAGCAAAATGTCATCAACATAGAGAAACACAAGAATCATATTGTTATCAGAGTGTTGCACATAAACGCCATATTCCATCTCACATTTCTGAAACTTCTGCTTCTTGAAAAACGAATCAATTTTCAGATTCCATGCTCTGGTCGCTTGCTTCAGTCCATACAGAGCTTTATTCAACTTGTATACCATCCCTTCCTGATTCTTTTTCACAAATCCAGGAGGTTTTGACACGTAAACTTCTTCCTGTAATAGACCGTTCAGAAATGCAAACTTCACATCCAGATGCACCAAAGGCCAATTTCTATTTGCAGCTAAAGCAATCACCAATCTGATTATTTCATGCCTAGCTACAGGCGCAAACACCTCAAAGTAATCTAGCCCAGGTTTCTGAAGAAAACCTCTAGCTACTAGTCTAGCTTTGTGCTTCCCAATTGAACCGTCTGGCTTAAGCTTCAACTTAAAAACCCATCTGACACCGATGGATTTTTTCTTATCTGGAAGCTTAGTCAATTTCCACATTTTGTTCCTTTCTATTGCCTCAAGTTCTTCTTTCATGGCATTCAACCATTCTTTCTTATTTAGAGCTTCTTCAATGGCCACTGGTTCAAAATCTACTATCATGGCACACTAAACGACTTCTCCTTCAGAATCAACTTCATTATCCTGCAACATGTTGAAATTTGTAAACCTTCTTGTTTGTTGTCTGATTCTCTGTGGTCTTTGAGCTTTTTCCAAAACTGCACCAGAACTACTACCTTCAGAGTTACCACCTTCATAGTTTTCCCTTCCAAAACTATGGTCACCACCAAATTCTGGATCATCATCAGAATCTGGATTAGAATCAGATCCACTGTCAGAATCTCCTTCTGACTTATCTTCAGAATCAGATTCATCTTTTGATTCTGACTTAACTTCAGAACTTTCTAAAACATCTTCAGAAGTTAACTCTGGTGTTGGCACTACACTAGAATCTGATTGAGACTTGTTCCAATCCCATGCTTCATACTCTTTCACCACAACGTCTCTGCTGGCTTCAACTTTATTAGTTTCTGGACAATAAATCTTATACGCACATGTACTATGATACCCCACCAACAACATTACTTTGCTTCTATCATCCAGTTTTTGTCTTCTAGCTTTTGGAATGTGTTTGTAACAGACAGAGCCAAACACATTCAGATGACTGACACTCTGCTTATCTCCAGTCCATTTTTCTAAAGGAACAACTTCCTTCAGCTTCTTCGTTGGACACTTGTTCAGAATATATGCTGATGTGGCAACAGCTTCTCCCCATAACATGTGAGGTAGCTTTTTTTCTTTCAGCATGCTTCTGGTCATATCAAGCAAAGTTATGTTTCTTCTTTCAGCAAGACCATTTTGCTGAGGAGTATATGGAGCAGTAACCTCATGTTCTATTGCATTATTCTCACAGAACTTCTGGAACTCTATAGATTTATACTCACCTTCACCATCCATTCTCAGAATCTTCAACTTATGATCACTCTACTTCTCAGCCTTCACTTTGAAATTCTGGAACTCAGTAAACACTTCATGCTCGAACTTGATGATTTTTACCCATGTCATTCTTGCGAACTCATCCATAAAAGACATAAAATATTTGTTTCCTCCAAGTGAAGGTACTGGAAATGGTCCACACACATCAAAATGTACTACTCCCAGAGCATTCTTCGCTCTAGGGGCTACTTCTGATGCAAATGGCAATCTGGGTTGATTTCCTTTCATGCATATCTCACATGACTTCTCAGGCTTCACAATCTTCGAGATACCATGTACAAGCTTCTTAGAACATAAATTCCATAAGCTTCTATAGTTCAAATGCCACAACCTCTTATGCCACAACTTACTTCCACCTTCAGCGCCTTCTGCACTAAGACACATTGCTTTAGCTGTTTCTACATTCACCTTGAATGTCCTGTTTCCTCCTTGTTCAGACTTCATAATCAACTTCTGATTGGAATCATACAACGCCAAGAGATTGTTTTTCATAACAACTGAGAAACCTTCATCAATTAGCTGACCCACCCTCATCAGATTTCTTCTAATACCAGGAACATACCAAACGTCTTTGATCAGAATTTTTTTCCCATTCTTCACTGTAACTCTGACATTTCCCATACTTTATACATTAAGATACTTATTGTCAGCACATATGATCTTTGTTCTCCTTCTGGAGTCAAAGTCTTTTAGCCATTGTTTGTTTCAAGTTAAGTGATTTAAACAGCCAGTGTCCATATACCACCAATCTTATGAGCATTTTCCATTAGAATTAGAAGCCATTAGTAGCACAGGTTCATCATCAGAGTTTCCCTTAGCCATATATGCTTCTTCTGATTTCCTTTCCTTGTTTGACCTACAATCTCTGGAAAAATGGCCAAATTGTTTACAAGAGTAACATTGAACCTTCTTTTTGTCATACCTCTCCTTTCCTTTATGATATCTCTTATCATCAGAAGTTGAGGTTTATGACTTCTGGAATCTATCACCGTGTTTATTTTGCTTCTGGTCTTTCTTGAAAAAGGAAGCCTTAAGAGCTTGCTCAGCTTCCCTTTCAAAAGTTCTCTCAGTCAGACGTAACTCCTGTGCTTCTAAACTGCTTTGCAATTCTTCTATTCTCATAGTTTCCAGGTTTTTAGAATGTTCAATAGAAAAAACAATGTAATCAAACTGAGGAGTAAGCGGCCTCAGAATATTCTCTATGATTACCTGTTTAGACAGAGTTTCTCCACACGCCTTCATATCGTTAGTGATCAGGATCACTCTGGAGATATATTCAGAAACTTTCTCATTGTTCTTCATGTTCAAGTTCTCATATTGCTTTCGCAGGGATTGAAGCTTCACCTTTTTTACTGATGTGTCACCACCGTAACATCTCACCAGTAAATCCCACGCCACTTTTGACATTGTCGAATCAGTAATCTTCTCGAACACACTTTCATCCACACACTGATGGATATAGAACCGAGATTTCTAGACCCTCTTCCTCATAACCTTCTAAGCAGTTTTCTGTTCTTCAGTTGCATCTGCTACAGCTGGTACATAACCATCTATAACCAGATCCATAACATCTTGTGCACCAAACAACACACGCATTTGTATCATCCATTTGTTCCAGTTTTTTCCATTAAAAACTGGGAGTTTGGTGTTCAAACTACTGCCTTCACTCATCTTTAACCTTGAACAAATTTTTAGATCTTCAAACACACTATTTCCCAATCCACAGAATCAGATTTTGTTTAGATTTGTTCAAGATTTCAACAAAAAATCAATGAACCAAAATCAAACACACAACTCACAATCACTCGTGTTTCCCGGGAAAAACAGAACTAAGTGCTCTAGATACCAATTTGATGGTGCAAGGTAATGAAGTGGGAGAAGAAGAATGAACAAAGAAAGATAACAAGAAGACTACTGTTGTATATCAAAATAGAGGAGATAAAGTAGGGTACAATATTGATAGCCTAGGATAGCATATTTATACTAAATATTGAAATTGCAAAAAGGCCCTATTAAAAGATAAGCATTGGGTATTGTAGAAATTAACTAAATTATCTTTCCAATACAAACTATATAAGTTACCTTCTTCTTCATTCATCTTAAGATTCATCACCATTATGAAAAATCACAAAGAACTTCAAACTCAGTTCTCTCTCTGCAGCAAATAATCTTCTCTCTCTCTCTCTCTCTCTCTCTCTCTCTCTCTCTCTCTCTCTCTCTCTCTCTCTCTCTCTTCACCGCTTCAACCTTCATCGTCTGTTGCAACAATCTTCAACAACATCTCTACATCTCGATCTCGCATCACATAACACACAACAACAACATTGTACCGCACCTCTGAATTGTGAACAACTACGCATCATAACACTTCATCTTGATCTCCAACAACTTCACACATCATTACACTTCACCAAATCTGCTTCAGCAACATCACAACAACTTCACAACATCAAACCTTCATCACAATTCAACTCTACAACCACAACAACAACACTCCTCATGCATCAGAACACTTAACATCTCCACAGAAACACACAACAACAACAACAAAAAACACAAAAAAAAGAGAATGACAAAGAAGAAGATGAAGAATAAAAAAGAGAAAATTTTAATTAAAACGGAAATAAAATAAGAACCTAGGACATTGAAGAGGCACCAGACGCTTCTCCGGTCGGTAATCCTCTTCCACTCACCTCAATGATTTCTGTTTCTTTTTATTGATAGCAAGGATCTAAACCGGAAGCCGAGAAATCGTTGAAACTGAGGCAGATGGAGACGTATCCAAACAAAAGTGAGACAGATAGATAAGAGCGGACGAAGACGGTTGTGTGTGGTGTGGACGAAGCCATGGCATGGCGGAGGCGAAAGGCTGAGAGAAAAAGACGAAGAAGATGACTGAGTTGAGAAAGACGTGAGAGATATTGAAGAAGTCTTGTTTTCAAAAGAAGACCAAGAGTTACTTTAAGCCTAACAAGCACCATATGCCACTGTTTTAGATTTTTTTTTCTTTTTTAATTGGTTTTTTATTATTTTTATTAATAAATAACAATGCTGAAGTGATATTGAGATGGAAATATATAATATAAGAAAAGTAGTTCTACCCAAAATCTCTTTTTTGTCCTTTTGCTCCAATTACATGACACATGGATAACTTATTTGAGTGTTCTAAATTTGATTCTTCAAAAAACAGCACAACCCTTCCCTATTCTTCTACGCTTCTACAGTTGTGTAACCTCCCTCTCCACCTTCCTATTCATGATCGAATTTATAACCGGTTGCAATAATCAACCGTTACAAAATGGTTGTCCATTTCACTATCAAATTACAATAATCCAATTTCCCTTTCCATTTATCTTTCAATTTCCCTTTCATTCTTCACTGTCCAATTTCAATGGCTTCCGATGCCTTCACCGACAAGAACGTCGTGTTCAGAAAACTCAAAACCAAATCTAAAAACAAGGTTCGAAATTCTTTCATCTATATATTTTGAATTTTCATGCTTTTATGATTTCAGTTATTATGTTTTGTTCTTTGATTCTCGAGATCGCTTTTCAGATCTGCGACTTATGTGTGAGTGTTGTTTTGATTTTTAAAGTTGTGCTGGTTTTTTTATTTTGTTTCAGTCATGTTTTGATTGTAATGCAAAGAATCCGACCTGGGCGTTGGTACCGTATGGGATCTTCCTCTGCATTAAATGTGTGTGTTACACGTGTAACATAGATTGATGTTTTTCTATTTGTGCCTTATTTTGTTGATTTGATGATATCATATGATATTATTGTCAGGATGATGAAGTTGATGGTAATTTGAGGAATCATCATAATCATGTTACTAAAGAGAATTGTGATTCTTTGTCTTCTGTTATCACTTACAACATAGTGAGGAACATAATATGAATTTATCTAGATTATATCCTGAATTACATGATGTGTCGTTGGAAAGGAATGACGATGATATAAAGGATTTGGCAGGTATTCAGAATCATAGAAAGTATTTTTATTATGATGCTCCACTAAATGAAGATACTGGAGTTTGGATACCGGTTTCAGTTCCACCTATGTTGGAAGACAATCATAAAGAGTGGACCAAAGGTTTCTTCTGTAGGATTAATATACTATTTTTCATTTGTACCATACTAGCTATTAAGATTTGTCATGTCGTTTATGGTCTTTCTAATGAATAATTTATTATATATTATAAGCTCAATCTCCTGAATTCATGATGAACTAATTTATTTTTAATGATTGGATTGATTTTTTAGTATTCAAGAGACCTTTTTATCTTGACTTTCTGAACTTCTGCTTTGAGAGATTTGATGTGGTTGTTTGGTCTTCAAGATTCAAGTATTCTTCAACTTAATCCCTCTCTTTTATAAAATGTCATTGAGTTAATTAGTTGTCGCTTATTGGCGAATGTGTTTTGATAATTTTGTAGAAAATATGTTGACAGGGTTGTTGATTATTTGATGGCAAACATGAAACAAAACACATTGCTTTTGGATGATTCTCCTTACAAGGAAATACTTAATCCGGTAAAAAAATCGACTTTTTCATTTTTTAGTTGTCTCAGTATTTCATTCTTATCTTCAACTAACTTATGTTTAATGTTTTGATAAATTGTTGTATCCATACAATTCAGTATTTCTTCTATACATAATGCATATTTTAATCCATGGTAGCTTTTTCATTTCATGTTCTTCTTATTTAAAGTACATATGTGAATATTTTTTTGAATAACCAAGTATTAAAAAAAAATTGCAAAAAACCACGTTTCGGAAAAAATTACGCAAATAACCATGATTCAGATGACTCCCCAAAGGAGGAGCCATCTCACTTGGCGCCTACACCTATTATTTAAGGGGAGGCGCCATCTCACTTGGCGCCTAGGTGCTTAGGGCTTTCCCTAAGCCAAGTGAGATGGCGCCTTAGTGCAATTCTAGGGCAACTTTCGTGTTTTTTTTCCAATCCGGTGTGTTGCGTATTCGATACAAGATAAACAAAATTGACTTTTTATTTTAAAAAAATGATTACACCCATAAGTATTACATAAAAAAAATAGATAAAAAAATAGATAAAAAAAACAGATAAATCAGTATTCCCCCGGAACCCGGTAATGACCCCCGGTTCCGCATCCCCGTCCTCGCCTTTCCCGTGCTGGGTGTCGTCGCATTTCCTGCTGTGGAAGGGTCGATGGCCCAGCGAAGTCAATGCATTCTGGATCCATGAAATCAGTCAGATCTCCATATCTAGAAGATCCGCTTTGGTACAGTCGGTTACCCATACCCTCGAAGTTTGGTCATGTTGGCGGTGGGTGGGGTTCCATGGTGGGTTTGTAGCATTGATCGTCTGAGTACGGGGGGGGGGGGGGGGGGGGGGGGGGGGGGGTAGAAAGGAAATGGATCTTGGGGTGTTTGGTATTGAGGATGTTGGGTGGTTTGGTGATACTGTGGTTGATGGTAAGTTGGGTTGGTTGGTTCATAATCTTCCGACATTCCCAGATCAGGGCTAAGGCTGGATGTTGAGGGGCCCATATTAGGATATACAGAAGATAGAAATTATGTGTCGGGTATGCGGGTGTTTTGGTATTGTGATTGGAATTGTGGTTGGGTGTGAGGCATATGGGGGTATTGGTACTGAGGCGGTGATTTTGGTTGGTTGTGGGGCATTTGGGTGTAATTGTGTTGTGGTGGGGACTGTGGTTGGGTGTTTGTGGTTATGTTTCGTCTGGAGGTTGGTGGGAGGTTGATGTGTGTTGGGTTTGTTGTTGGGGAAACGAGGGTTGTGCCCATTGTGTTTGTGGGTCAACCAAATACCTTGGATGAGACACGTGCATTTCAGGGTTACTAACCGACCTGTACCAAGATAAATATTGATCCGTGTGTCGCATATTACCATAATTGAGGAAAACCTAGAATTGCAAGACATGTCGGTGATGCCTCTGCCACATCTACACCATTCTGGAGCAAAGTCTTTCCAGTTGGTAAGACCCCACTGGGCGTCGACCCTTTTGAGATGCCACGGGGACAAACAAGTCGGATCACTTTGTATCTCTTGATGCATTCCGAATTGCATCTTCACACGGTCGCTCTGGTGCATCTCAACAATATTGAACTGTATGATTGCAGTCTTGGCGCTCCAAATTGCGGCATCCTCGAGGTTTGGTTCATGGTCCAAACCCAAATATGGTCTCCAGACAAACTGCACAAAAAATTAAATCAGGTTCATGAAAACGTAATATATAAATAATTTAAATGTAGAAAAGTTGAAAGGTACGACGTACATCATCCGGGCCTAGGTGATCCAACAGATTGCGGTATAATGCAACATTAAATCTTTGATTCTTGTCGTAATCCATACCCCTGACGCAATACCTAAAGGAAATGAAAAACATTTTATTTTTAGCATATATTTGGTGAAGAGATGAATTGTAATAAATGATATAACTTGATGACTTACTTTGTTGCATACGGGAAAACGAATGTGTTATTGTTGACGGGGTTTAAGGACTCCATCCTCCACCAACCCCGGGCTTGAAGTAAAAAAGCGCAGCCATAAAATGTACATTTTTCCTTGACTGCATTTTTGCATAAAGAACTGTATAGGTGGGCTAAAACTGCAGAACCCCAACTATACTTTCTTGTTTTTTCAAAATCTCTAAGTAAATGTAAATACATAAAAATTACACTATTTCCCGTACTTTCGGGAAATAAAAAGGTTCCAAATAGTATCATTAGATAAGTTTTGGCTTTTATTACCCTGTCTTTCTCGGAGGAATTTTTGTTTAATTCCAAACTTGCATAATGATTTTTAAGCTCAGTGAGTAGTATACCTTGACCTCTCGCACCACCACCTTCAACCATATCCCTACCCAAAAATTCTTCACACTGAGAATTGGGTTGTTGAACCGACACGTTAACAGCCTTACCATCGACAGGGAGACCCGGGGTAACATGTACACATCCTCTAGTGTGACGGTACATTCACCTATTGGTAGGTGAAATGTATGGGTCTCTGGTCTCCACCTTTCCAATATTGCAAGAATGAACTTCGAATCAATTGTGCATTTGGAGATCTTTATAACATGTCTGAAACCTGCATATTCCAGATATGGTACGATAAATGGGTCGGGAGCAAGGTAGTTGTGAGACCGGATTCTAAATCTTTTGGTATCCTGAGTTAATAATTTAAAAGGTGTAAGATTAAGTAAGATGAACAAAGTTGTGATATGGTGGCTAGAACCGGGACGTGTTTCCCTATTTTTTAAGGAATTTGCTGGTTTGCTTTTTGCGTTTGTGTTTGCAAAATGTCGCGGTAAGCAAGAGTCGCCACCAACTTTTATTTTATCCAATAAGGAAAGGAAAAAAGCACAAAAACATTCCTTTTTCGAGATATTTCTGAGTACGGGGGGTAGATTATAGAAAGGGAAGGTATTAGCACCCTTTCTATCCGTAGTTATCTACAGGCTCTTAGGTACTTGCTCATCATTTTCAAAATTGCTTCTTTGTGTGTTTGTGTGTTTTGAAAAGTTTTTTTTGTTTTGACTTCGATTTAACTCTTGCTCCTGTCTTCAAGAGTGTAATGAAATGTTTTTGAAAACATAGTTTGTAAAGGAGTGTAAGTGCGAAAAAAAGTTTATTTTGATTGAGAAAGTACTTAAGAACTAATCTACCTACTCGAAAAAAGAATCATTCTATGCTTGTTTCCTTTAGACCATTTTATCCCACTATTAGTGAGTAGGTAGCACCATCGTTGTAATTTTGAGGGTCAATTCGAAAGGGACGTACAGTCACTAAAGCAATGTTAAGATGTCTTAGTAATAACCCTAATGTCTTGGATCATTTATCCGAGGCAACAATATCCGAGGCAACCTTTTCGGGGCAACTTTGATCTTTGGACAAAAGGAAGACCACTAAAACATCCTATACTCAATGACCGTTTACCGAAGGCAACCAAGTGGGAGTGTACCCTAGGAGTGCGCATGTGCGAATGATTCAATTTCAGTTTATTTATCTTTGCACATTTAGGGTGATCTAACTGTTTTAAAATTAGTCATACATTCTTGTCATGCATCCTAATATCATACATCTAACAATTAATAATTTGCGGAATTTAAAATGCGGAAATTAAACTACGCTATTACAAGTCTTCAGGTATTTACATAGCCAAAAACAAACCCTTTGGAAAATAAAGCGATAAAAGAAAATAAATGTCTTAATTTAACTATTACAAACTGTACGCAGTTACATCAATATAAAAATAAAGCGCGCGATGAAAATTAGATCGACGAGAAATTAGGGTTTTGACCCTCCTAATCAAAAGAAAAAAGTTTTTTGTTGTTTTTTAATATTTTTTAAAGAAAATAATTAAGTTTTCTAAATTAAATACAAAAATTAATTAGTGATCAAATTAATTAATGAAAATAATTACATGACCTATTTTTGGTTTTTTGGTTATTTTAGGAAAAAATAAAATATAATTAACTTAGTAATAAAACCTATTTATTCTAATTATTTTTAAGTTATTTACAAAATAATTAAAGTTTTACCTAAAATTAAATCTAATTGAATTAATAAATTTATTGATAAAAATATACCTTAATCTAATTGATGAAAAATATTTATGATTTTTGATAAAAAGGAATTATTTAATTGGTTAGTAAATAAATAAATAAATTAAAAGAAATAAAATAAAATAAAGTAGAGAAAGAAATTGGGCTTGGATAGTATTTTTTTTGGGGGGGGGGGTGCAAACAGCCAGATCTAGGCCCATTTGAGTGAGGTCCACGTTGACCTTCATGATTTGATGATATGCGTTTTGACCAGGCTTATGATGTACCCTCATTGATGGACTTTGGATCTGGCCATCTGACATTTGGCTGGTTGGATTGTGAGGACATA